CCTCTCACTCTTGATTTCTGCATGAAGTAAGAGCAGCTTAAGTGGATGAGGAGAGCTTGTTCTGCATTTACGAAACAAACCTGTCTAGGACGATGGTGCTTGTGTGAATTATTGAAAGGCAAGTGCATTTACAAATCCAAATTAGCTGACCATCTGCCCTTCCACATCTATCTGCAGTTTTGACTTGAAAGAGAATCACACCAAAGGATAAATTTCTCTCAGCACTGGCTGCACTTTCTGCCTCTGCCACATAAAAGTTTTGGTAACAAAATGTTAAAAATAACCTCCTGCGCGGATGTTTTCTTTCAAATACACAAACATTTATACTCACCTAAGGTTCACAAAGTTATTTCAGAATCGAGTTTGAGTTGTTAAAGCCCTTTAAAAAGCAAAACATGTCCAGCAGTCCTTATGCAGTGCTTCTCTCCTTACTGAATCATTACTTTTGTTAATGATAACAAAACCAGCCTGTTTCTGCAGCAGAGCCCCACAGCATCTTTAGGGAACAACCAGTTTCGCTTTCATCCTGCTCATCCTCCTCCACTCCTACTCAGCTCCTGCTACTATCTGCAAGCACACTGCCGGCTGTCAAGGGTTAAACCGTGGCTTTTCACGGAGAAAAACAGGAGAGGCAGAAGAGAGAGGAGCAAGGAGAGCCTGCCCAGGGCAGCAGCTGGCTGGAGGGCATCAGTGCCAGGGCAGGGATGGCCCAACCGCTGCAGCAGCTGACGGAGCAGCAGAGGAAAAGTTTCTGTGATTTTAGGCAAGCCCTGGCGTGACGTCACCTCGCCCAGATAATCTCGGCGCAGTCAGCACAGGCCTCCTGGCTCCCCATTGGCGAGCCCCTCGTCAGCAGACATCTGAAGATAATTATTATTGGCCAGACAATTATAACAGGAACGACTGTCACTTCGTGCTGATGCCTGAACCTGGTGCTCTGCAGCAGGATGGAGAAGGACTCCAGCGGTCACCGCTCCATCCAGGCATTTCTGTCTCTTTGGCTTTCCTAAGCACCAGACAGTTTTTGCTGCCTCACTGGCTGCAGCTCGGAATCAGGATCTTGGCACTACAACCCTCTTTGCTGCATGTCTGACAGAACTGTGAATTTTCAAAAATAATATACTTACCTATGAGAGATAAAGAACTAGAACTGCATTAATTCTCATACAGCAGTTTAAGGGGAAAAAAAATCCTCTGCAGAGTATTTACTTCATACCACTTCCCTGTTTGAAGAAGTTTGGGAGGAGGTGCTGGGAGAGTTTGATTTGAGAAATCATTTTAAGCAATTACTTTAATAATCATTTGACTTAATCCTGGTCATGCTTAAATCAAACCTCCCATGGTTTCAGCACAATATGATAGTGTATCTTAAAGTGATACTGTATTTTATATTCAAAGCTACATGATGGCACTATGCTTAAACTTATATCTACAACAGCTTTCCCGCAACATAAATTCTAAGAAGTTTCATGACAGTAAATGGACCTGTTAGTTCTTTAACCTCCCGAAAACCTGCCATTGCTTGTTTAGGGAAGACAACTAATTGGCAGCTCTTACCATCAGAGACCAGCAGGCTGGAGGTCTGTCTTCGCAGCCTCCAACTTTGCTCAGTCTCTCCTGCCTCCATGCAGGAGAACCAGGCAGTCTGGGGCTATACCATTAAGGTGTGCATAAACATAAAGCCAAGCACTCGGGGAGGCATGAAATGCATCAGCTTATAAGTATCACACAACAGACTATTCATTTTTCCTCTGTGTCAAAACAGTACCCTCTTTACAGCACTGCTAATCCAGGCCCAAGGTTTAAAGAGGTCTCAGTGTGATGCATGTTGCAGGAGGGGGTCCTCCATACAGTAAAACAGAAACATCTGGAATGAAGCAAGGAGGTCCTCATTCGCTGCCATTAGACCAATACGCCATCAGACAGGTTCCACTCATGTAGGACTCAGAGGGATGATTTCCAGGGGCAGATGGCAGTGAGGAAACAAGCCCTAGGATGAGGATGTGCTGAAGAAAAGCCTGGGTGCCAGCGACTGGAGAGGGCAGAGCACATGCACTTTCCCCAGGGAGTGATGAAGCTTGAAGTAGACTCAGAAGACTGAGGAAAAGGAGGGGCAAGCCTTGGCTGACCCAGACACTTCATTCCTTGCACCATGATCCTTCCCAACCAACCATACCAGTACCTAGGTGTATGCCACTACCCCGGGCTTTGCATTCAAGCTTTTCCAGCTTTAGCCTTATGCAGTTTTAATTAAAAGGGCTTGCTGGTGCTTTAACCAGCTCAGAAGTCAGAAGGTATGTAAAAGAATTCATGTCCATCCTCAAACTAGGCTACGTTTTCATATGCAACACAGTCAGACTCCAAAAGTCAGGGTCAACTCCTTAGAACCACTTCATCCCCCCTAACGCCCCACAGCCTTTTTTTTTTGTTTCATAAGGTATCAGGAAATATTTTTGAGATTAAGTAAAATAACAAGTGCCACACCTAAAGAATTTATTTCCCTCCATGCTGGACATCGCAATAGTATCACATCCTAATTAGTGATTACAGTGTAAAATCCTGCCATAGTGTTTCCTTAGTCTGTCTTGCTGCCCAAAGAATGAAAAAACGTTTATCCCTGCAAACTACTACTTAACAACCTCATCTTAGAACGCTCTTACATTAATGACGTGTACATTAAGGCTACTCCTACAAAGTGTAGAAGCCATGTACTGCCATTGATGTCTGCATACACAAACCTATTGAGTCACCCTGATAAGTAAAAAAGCCTTCTTGTGTAGCCCTTAGCTGCTGTATTTTACCAGTTAAGCTCCCTGCAAAACTCAAGTGCTTGAACAGGACCTGTTTCACAAAGCAAGTGCATTTCTTGAAGATAAAAATGCACAATTTAACCTGAAACTCAGAAGTCATCCTCAGCATTTTCAGGAAAAGCCTGCCACGACAGAGACCTCAGAGGGCACAGCTCCATTTCATTTCCAGAAACATTCCCAGGCCCCCAAGCAGATCACTCTCCTTTACTTTCATGTGAATCAAAGGTATTAATTCATCAGTTCCCTTAGAGAAGGGGAAACTAGACTGGAAAGCATGTGCACACAGATGATCATGTCTCTTTAGCTGTACAGCAGCAGCGTAACACTGATGGTCTCTTCCTCTGAACCTGGGAAGTGGGAGCCCAGCATTACAGAGTCCAGCTGGTGACTTCTGCAGCACTTGAAACTGCCAGGGATATTTTAATAACACTGCTTAGCATTTATATAGTACCTGACATCTTCAAGGCACTCAGCAAACATTATGTAAGTCATTAAAGCACCTCATAAGGGCATTTCAGCATTATTATCCCCAAATCCCCTGGTCTTTCCCTGCTGGGGAAACTGAGGCCTGGAAGAAGTTATGTAATGTTCCCAAGGTCATATCATGAAGCACAGGAGAGTCAAGAAGAAGATGCAGGAGTGGTGGTTGCTAGTCATGTTCTTTATTCTAAACTCCATCTCTTCTGGGTTATTTGGCTATTATATACACTCATGTATCACCCTCTCCATCCTCTTTTACCAGCTTGTCCTATTCTGATGCCAATTTTATTCTGGAACATGGACAGAATGGGAAGCATCCAACACTCCCAGCCCAAGAATATCTACGTGGTCTCCTTTTTCCTGAAACATGAGTGACACTAGGCACTCTTCAAGAGCTAATGAGCTCACCTGGAGGAGAACAGAGGCAGACATACATGCACTTAAATGGTCTTTTTAATTATGCTGCCCTTAAAAGTTCCCAGACCAGTCACTAGAGTATTCTAGCAAATCCCTGGCTGACATCCATCTATGATCTGGGACCATTCTGCCCTGAAAATGTAGACACCAAAGCCTGGGCCCAGAGACAGTCTTATCCTGCCATTGTCACATCAGGGTGGTATGGGTAGGGTCCTCATTTGGAAGCCCAAAAGGGCAGGCAGCACTGCCAAGGGAGGGCATGCTGGCAATGAGAAAGTTGGGGGCTAGCTCAGGAGACAGACCACAGGAGCAGCAGAAAGGGCAAGACTGGGCACCAGGCGAGGGTGGTCAGTGATGGTGCAGCAGCAGGGTGCAGGTGAGCCTGGGCAAGCCTTGAACACAAGGCCAGTGCAAGTGGACAAAGCTAGGGTGAGGACTGGGGCAAAGTGTGGGTAGGTGTGATGGAGAGGGGAATCCCGGTCCCGAGGACAGGCCAGCGGATCCCGCGGAGGGGGCAGGGGCAGCTGGGGCGCTCCTCCATCCCTGTCTCCATGCTGCCGGCCAGGGCCCAGGGATGCTCCCGCGGCAGTGCCGGGCAGAGAGCAGGCTCCCGGCACAGCCACTCCCCTTCGGCGGGCCGGGCTGTGAGCGTACGTGTGTCCCTTTGCGGGTCCGTCAGGCTCCGGCTCGCCGCGACCCGGGAAGCCCCGACAGGTCTCTGCGCAGCCCCGGTCCCGCCGCGGCTCGGCTCGCCCCGGCTCCCCAGCCACACGCACACGCCGGGAAAGTTAATAGCCACATGGCTGCAAATGAAGTTTTATTAGGAGCTGGGGGAGGGGAAGGGGAAGAGAAAGGGGCTCCACGGGGAACGCGGGCAAACGCGCAACTTGTTTGAACGGGGGCGTAGCGCGGGGAGCGGGAAGGACGGGCAGGGATGGAGGCAGGGATGGAGGCAGGGATAGAGGCAGGGATGGAGGCAGGGGAGGCCGAGGGCAGAGCCGAGGCACGTGTGCGGCTCTGCGCCGCCGGGCCGGGGCGGCGGCGGGGCTCGGGGCCCGCATCGCACCGCGCCGGCGGCGGGATGCCCCGGCCTTGTGTAACCCGGTGGCTCAGTCTCCGCTCGGGCGCGCAGGTAGCGCCGGCAGCAGCGCCCGTGTGCCCGCGCACGGCGGCGCAGAGCCGAGCCCAGCCGAGCCCAGCCGCACCGCGCCGGCCGGGCGCAACCCGCGCACCCGGATGGGCTCAGCGCCTCCCAGATCCGGGCGGGCGGCGGGGCCCGGGGGCGGCACTCACCAGTTTTCCTGCATCCACTGGATGGCCGCATGCTCGTTGAACTGCTTCTCGAATTCGTATTCCTGCAAAGTCAACACTGACATGTTCATTGGCCCGGTGGCTGCGGAGCCGCTCCCCGCGCCGAGATGCTGCCTGCCGCCGCCTCGGGAGCCGGGCCCCTGCGCGCCCGCCGCCGGAGAGCCCCCGCCTCTGGCCTGGCCCGCCCCGCCTCAGCGGTACCCCGGGTTTAGCATAGCTCCGCTCCCCTCCGCGCCTCTCCTCCCGGGCCCGCCGGTCTCCTCCTCTTCTGCGGCCGCCGCGCAGCGCCCGGGGGCGGCGCGGTCTTAGTGCCCGCCCGCCGCCGCCACCGCCGCCGCCCGGGACACCCGCCCCCCGCCGCTCCGCGCACATCCCGCACCGCTCCTCGGGGCATCCGCTGCGGGGCTGCACTCCTGGCGGGGAGGGACCCCCCCGCGCCACCCCAAGCCGTCAAAAATAACTACAAAAATAGGAAGCCCCCACCCCTGTGCTGAATCCATGCCGCAACGACCTGCGCGCCCTCCCCGGCCACCCGGGAAATAAAGAAGGACGAGTTAAGATTTGGGCAGAGGAGCAGACGCATATACTCCCCCAGAAGAAGCCTACACCCCCCCACACACATCCTTTTTGCATTTAGATCCCAGTGCACCTGCTGTGGCTGCTGCCACCCCGCGGGACTGGGCCCTCTGCCCCGGGGCCGGCATGCTGCAGGGGAAGGGGTTGCGGCTGGGTGTCCCCATGCGGGGAGCACCGTCCCGCAGACAAGCTTCCCTGAGCTCCCCCCTGTGCACAGACACACTTTTGGATGTTACAGTATGCATGGAGCTGGTGGAACATGGGGCAGAGACCCCGAGTCTAACTATCACCTGCTGAGCTCATCTCACAGCTGGGTCACATGGTGTTTATGTAGCCTTAATTTTGCCTTCCTGTCTCGTTTGCCACTTGCTGATGTCTCCAGCTGAGTTCTTCCGGCTCCAGCAGCACCCTGGATGTGTGTTACAGTACGAGCAGACTTAAAATAGTGGTCCCAGCCTCCACTGAGCTTGCAGTCTGAAGACAGGAGGTGAAATGCTTTCATGTCAGAAAAGCCAGCTGTAATTGAGCAGATCTGGCACAGGTCAGCATGCTCTTTACTCTCCTGTATTTTAGTTCTCATTGACATGGAAGTCTTTAATATTAAAGCCAAACACTCAGAAAATAAAAAAAAAAAAAAAGAGAGCCCTAAAGCCGTAGGACATCAGCAGGTAACCAGTCTGGTGATCCTGCTTGCATTTTTACTACCATGCTCTTCAGAGTCATGTTTTTCAGCACATTAGCCAGAAGGTCGGAGACCAGCTCTCTTACACTGGTTGGCTTCCTAAAGTTGGTGCCAGAGCTGGTGAGGTTTACAGGATGAAGCTGAAGGTTATAAAATGCTATGGCAAGGGCTCCTTTAGGGTTAGGATGGCTACAGGGTTTCAGATGAGTTTGACCATTGCCCCCAGGGTTTCTGTCTACCTAGGAGTTCAGCTGCCGTCCAGACTCGCAAATCATCCATGTGGCATTCAGTGTTCATTCTGGAGTGCTGACTGTGCAAGACATGACATAGAGGTTAAGTCACAGCAACACTTGAAAATCAGCTGTAACAGTTTCAGGAAATACAATTATAACCTGGAAACACTAAACCCCACTGGGATTCATGTGAGTCTCAAAAGCTCACCAGGGACTTTTCCAGGTTTTCTATAGCTCACAGGACTTCTACATAGGTTAAACAATCTGCAACGAATCCTACCTCCCTGCCTGTCCTGGTCTTATGGTGGCTATCTGAAAATTTCCCCTAACATGTGACTATCTGCAAGCTAATGCCTAAGCTTTGGGTTACTGTCAAAATCTGCATGAACAATGGAAGAACATATAAAACCTTGTTGGCCTTGAGGAGTTTGTAAGCCGTGCCTCTAGTTGATTATATCAATTGCAGTCCAGAACAATAAACAAAAATGTATGGTCTATTTTAAGGGGAAATAACTTTTAAGTAACCATTTTTGAAGTATTTTAGTTAATTCTCACATAAAAGCACGAACTTGAAGTAGTGAATATCTCTCAGGAGAAAGCATATGGGGAGAATGATACATTTTCAAGAGACAATCTTAGTCCCTCTGTGCACATTCATGTGCATACCTCTATATTGTTGTGGGTATATTTTTATGAGGTGCCCATCTAGTTCAGTAAGTGGATAGTTATTGAGCATTACTTTTTATTCTCTTTATTTAGCATCTCTCCTAAGGCTCTATAAAAAGCGTAGCAGCTAAATGGTACATTTTCTACCAGATATATGTTAGTGCTGTTTCCATTTACCAAAAGCCCTTTGGTTGAATAATGCAAGCAGGTTCATTCAGGATTTACAAATAACTCTCTAACCAGGTTGGGCACCTTACCATTATAATTTCTGCTACTAAGCTAATACTTTTTTCCTCCCTGTCATAGTGTTAATTTATTGCAAAAACCATTAAGCTTCTATTGCTGTAAGAAGTAATTTTGAATAGTTTGTTGTGCTGATGTATAACTGAGTTTCAACTAAACTCTTAGCAGCTGCTGGAAAATGAGATGCTATACTGCTGACAAGTCAACATAAGGTATAGTAAGTGGCAATGAGGGTTGATGTGATTTAAATGTAACAACAATTACTAAAATACACAAGAACTTGAAGGAGGCCAGTGTGTTCAAAACCTTATTTCCAGCTGTATCAATTAATGGATTAAAGGATTTAACATCTCTCTCTGTGATTTTGCCATACTTGAAAGCAAATTAACATACAAGTAATGGAAGGTATGGAAAACTGGGCTCTCTGATATACCCTGTAATCTAGAAGCAATTGGGTGATGCTCTTGGATAAGATAATGGGAGTTATATCAAGAATGAATAGTAGACTCCCTAGGACTACTAGCCGGTTCTGACTGGTCCTAACAAAGAGAGAGGTTTCATCAAGTTCCAGGCAAGAAACAAAAAATAGCCAAGGGATGGTTATTGGCAGCCCAAGTCTATGTGGCAACTCAGGCCTGCAAATCATCTGTGCCACTGCATAGAACCCAGACTCAACCATAGGTAGCTGGAAAGCTACTTGAGTGGATGCTATGGTAAGTCTAAGCAAACCCTATGAAGAAGTTGTTGTACTCATCAAGTGTCAGCTTATAATCAATAGTAAACACTAATCCAAATTAAAATGTTTTAAGGAAATTTAAAGTAGAATTATTGTGTCATCTTTCAGGTCTATAAAATAATCTATGTCTCAATGTACTCTTGTTCTGTTGTGCTACATTACCCAGGGACTTCAGCTTGATCATGCACCTAGAAATCACCTGGGTGCTCTGAAACCGCCTAGATCTAAGCTCTTCTGAAATATTTTTAGTGCAGGTCATGCCAGTTACAGCAGAAAAGACAATGGACAGGAACAAACTGCAGAGTGCACTACCAGGGCCAGGCAGCAGCTCCAGGGTGCAGTCCTTGTGGGTAGCTGAGATGGAAATCTGCTCCTCCTCATTGTCAGGGCTATGGTTTAGATTGGCTTGATAAAAGCTCACTGTTGTAAGTGGGGTAATTCTCTCCTTGTCTTCATTTGGTTCACCTCTTCAGTCCCTCTCAGTATTTCCTTCGCAGCCATAAGAAGCAGAAGCATTCTTCAATTGGTGCAGAAGCTCTAGGTCATGGTTTTTGGCAAGAAGCAGAAAATATCTGTAGTTTCAGAGCATATGAAGTCTTGTGTATAAAATGCTGTCCAACAGCAAGACCTCCCTCATTATAGCCATTTCCATATAAATCACAGAGTTTGTATTTGCTATGTTTGCACACACTAGTAGCAGTTCTAAGCATATCCCAGGTGGTATTCATTCATAGGCAAAAGACACTAGTCTTTTTCTACTTTGTCTGCCAGCACATCTGCAGACCTGTGGAGCGCTTCATCCGTAGAAGCTGGGGAGAGCACGACACCAACAGCATCCTTCCTTCCCTACCACCTTGGGTACGATGCTATCAGTAACTGTGAGAGAAAATAAATTGAATTTCATTGCTCAGAGCTCAACAAAAATAATTTGTTTTGTAAGACAAGGAGGCGAGATGCAGAAGTGAAAGGCAGAATAGTTCACATACAGGCACATCATTTTGGAACTGGATGCCTGTGCTGAACTACCTAAGTTTGCATGCTGAGGTCATGCTAAAGGTCTGTAGTAGAGGTTGGAATAGGAACTAACTTATGGTATTTGATGCTAATCCATATATTTTCATGATGTTCCTATGTATTGCTTTTTAATTGAATTAGTTAAAAATTGAAAAGATGGCTGAAATAATGGGGTTTGTGCAATCACGTTCTAAAGACTATTTTAATTTTACATTACAGTACAAAAGAGCTACAGAAGCAGAAAGCTTCATGTGTTTAGTGCTGTTATTACAGGTGTCTATTATGCGTGGGTATGTGTATATTTTGGGTGATGAGTGGAAAGATATAAACATAGCAACAAGTGTGTGTACTTCAACCTTAACTTTACATGCTTTTTTATACTTTGGATTTCTTGAAAGCCTGTTTCTGCATATTCCATGATCTTGGAAAGTGGGCAAAAAGCTGACAGGCGCTTTGGTAAAGTGGCTGTAAAGCCAAGTACTGGGCACCCTGAAAATCATGTGGTTGGGTTTTTCTCTTCTCGATTTCACCCTCTAGCAGTGAGATTGCCTGCCAACTGTGATTAAGAAAGTGTCATCAAGCAGGCCTGGACTCTTCACTTGCTTCTGCTCTGTGCAGGTTTAGCTGCTTCCAGAGCCAACACAACTGATACTGCTGTCTCTCCTGAACAAATCAGTTCACTCCCTTCTTAAAAAAACCCTGGTAATGCAACAGGGGTATTGCCAAATGGCTTATGGGCTCTATCCCAACTTTTTCAGATTGCACTACGTACAGACAGTGATTCTGCCACAGGGTTTTGTGCTGTATCTTGCAGTGGCTCTGGAAAGTCCTGCTGAGGTCAGCAGGGACTAGATGTGGTGGCACACTTGCTGTCTGAGGTAATGGAGTCAGTGATAGGATTTTGAAAGAGTGCTCAGCCCACTTGCTGCCTAGTTGAAGATGTAAACCATCACTTGGGCACTTCCTTCACAGCAGGAAGGCAATAACAGGATTAATTTCTGTTAATTATTGCTTAACTATTCCAGTTGAAGCTACTATTACTTTCTACTGTTATTAAATTGAATGTGAACGTGCTACACAAATGCCATGCAGAAAAATGAAGGACAGGA